AAATTTTTAATATCATTCCATAATATTGTCATTACCAAAATTTAAATCTAATTTATTTTATTATTTTAGGACAAGTATTGTCCAAGAACATTGGACTAACTTTATTTTAACTACTCCAACTCCAGTATTTATTTCAGCCAAGTTTACTGGGGAAACTAAACAAAATGCTAACAATATTGCTGCAAATATTGATGAAATATTAATTACTCTTGATGAAAAAAAATTATCAGCAGTTATAACTGACAATGCTGCAGTAATGAAATTAACATGGAAGATACTTGCTGAAAAATATCCAAAAATTTTATTTATGGGTTGTTTAGCACATGGATTAAATTTGTTAGCAAGCAATGTTTCAAAATTAGAATGGGCTAAAAATATAATTATTAGTGCAAAATCTATTATTAAATATTTTAAAAACCACATTATTCCAAATGCAATCCTAAAAAAATATCAACGAGCAACTTATGGGACAAATTATTGCACATTAAAACTTCCTGTTAAAACTAGGTGGGGGTCTGTAGCAACTTGTTTGTCCTCATTAAAAATAAATCAATTGGCTATTAAATTATCATTAACTGAAATTCTAAGAGGCTCAGATATATTTATTGATGAAATGATTAAAAATATTATTCAAAGTGAAGATTTTTGGGAACAAACTACAGAACTTTTGAATATACTTGATGAAATAGTACAAGGTATTATAATTTTTGAAAGTGATGTGCCAAAGCTTTCACAATTTTATGAATGGTATGAATCATTGGAAAATTCTGAAGGTATTTTTTTAAAATTTAGTTTATAAATTTTAAATTTAAATCTTTAAATTAATTCTTAATTTGTTCATTAGTAATAAAAAATTCACTCATGAAAGAAGATATCAATGTGTTAATTGATGAAAGGTGGGAAAAAATGTATAATCCGGTTATGTTAGTTGCTCATTTATTAGATCCAAGATATTTTGGAAGAAGATTACCAGGTGATGGAATGAATGAAATTTCCGAATTTATTAATAAATATTTTCCTGAAGATTCAATTATTATTTATAGTCAGATTATGAGTTATAGAGCAAAAACAGGTTGTTTTAGCAATGTTCTAGCATGGAACACCATAGAAAGCGTTGATCCTATTACTTGGTGGGTTGCAAACTTTGCAGAATCAGCACCTGAATTAACACAGGTTGTACAACGTATTTTAACCATACCAACATCATCTGCTGCATCTGAACGTAACTGGTCAGCATTTGCACATATTCATGACAAAAAAAGAAACCGATTAAGTAATCAAACTGTTTTCAAATTAGTTTATATATATAGCAATTATAAGCTACAAACACCTGCAGATAATAGAAAAAAAATTAAAAAAAAATGCGTTTTATTTTTTCGAGAGAATAAAAAAGGAACTTTAGAAAACATTTGTCACTTTCTAAAGGGCTGCATTATTTAATGTAGTTGGTAAGTAGTAAGTTAAAGCGAAAGAAAAAAAACAAAAGCATTAAAAATGCAACTAAAATTATTAAAATTTCGATTAAAATTGTTAAAATTGCGATTGAAATCATTAAATTACCATTAAAACCATTAAAACCACCATCAAAAATAAATGTAGGACTTATTTCGGAGGAAAAAAGGTTTAAACATCAACTTAAAAGGGAACATATTTTATATGATTATAACTCTTTCCAAAATATCGAATTTATTGATAATGGAGCATTTGGAACAATTTATCATGCATCTTCAAAGCATTGTCAAGGACTTGTGGCATTAAAATCCATTAATATTGACCAAAAATATACTTTTGAACAACTTCTTAACGAGGTAATAAATCAGTAAATCTTTTTTATCAAATTTATGTATATATTAACAAATTAATTTTTAAAGGCAAAACAACATTGTGAAGTAGAACATCACAATAATATATTAGGATTTTATGGCATAACAAAAGAAAGTGTGTTGACTTTTTATTATTAAATTATCATTGATTTACAAAATATTTATTATACTTTGTTAATTTAAATTTTTTTACATATCATTAAAGAAAAACATAAAAAAAATTACATGTTTGTATTAGAGTATGCAAATAATGGTAATTTATGTGATTATTTAAAATCTAATTTCTATACAATGGATTGGAATATCAAATTAAAATTTGCAAAACAAATTGTAAGTGCTGTAAGACATTTGCATGAAAATAAAATAGTACATAGAGATTTGGTATGTATAGACATTATTTTTTTACATTAATTATTTTAATAGTAATAACTAACATTAATATTTTAAATAGCATTTCTAAAAACATTCTCATTCATGATGGAAATATCAAAATTTGTGATTTTGGAATCTCAAAATTTTTATTGGATCCTTCAATTGAAGTTTCTAAAAGATTGGGCTCAATAAAATATTCTGATCCACAATATTTAGAGAATACTGAAAGTTATAGTCGCAATGAGAAATCAGATATTTATAGTATTGGAGTGCTTTTATGGGAACTGTCAAGTGGTCATGCTCCATTTGCAGATAAGTCAATCAAATTTACTGATATAATTCTTGGCATAATATCAGGTGAATGTGAAGCAGTAATCAAGGGAACTCCAAGAAAATATGCAGAAATATATACAGGTAATAATTACTTGTGGTTACATAACCAATGGCTATAATTTTTTCAATGGATAGTCTTGAAAATGTTTAATAATTTATACCAATATTAAAATTAAATAAATTTTATTTTTATAATAATAAAGCATGTTGGCAAGGAAACCCAGATCTCCGTCCTCATATTCATCAAGTTATGCAGGATTTGGACAATGTAGATATAACTAATACTATTGAAGATATTGTTAATTTAATAGATCAAACTAATAATGATGATTTATTATATTCATTATCAGCACAAATTGATGGTTTAAACAATCATTTAAAGGATCTGGATAATGTAGATATAACTGACATTATTGAGGGTGTTAATCCAACAGATCAAACTAATAATAATGATGATTTATTATATTAAACAGAACTTCCATTATCAGCATGAACTTATAGTTTAAACAACCACTTTTATGATAAGAAAAGTAAGAAATTACACAGTATATGAAGTGTATAATATTTTAGTATTATTAAGCACACACATAATTATAGATATTATTATAGATGTATTATTATAGATTCCCCATTATAATTTTATTGTTATAGATTATTATTTTTCGATTCATAACGTTCAAGCACTTTTAATTAATTATGCGAGTAGTTGTAATATTTTGAGCATTTGTAATACTTTTGAGCATTTGTAATAATGCAAGTATTTCTAATACTTTCGAGCATTCATAATAATGGCAAATGGCAAATGGCAAGTGGCAAATGGCAAGTGGCAAGTGGCAAGTGGCAAGTGGCAAATGGCAAGTGGCAAGTGGCAAGTGGCAAGTGGCATATGGATATTAATACTTTAATTACGTCAAAATTCATGTTTCATTTTTAAAACAATAAATAACCTTTCAGCATTATCAGGTAATATATAAAAATATTTTTTTTTGTGCAAACGATTGATTAAATTTGTTACACAGAAATATACCTGAAAATTGTCTTTCGATTTCTATGGTTGGCTCGGTCTAAAGACCTCCTATTGCTGCGCCATGCGGCCAAATTTCAAAATAACAATTTTGTAATTCGTTCAAAAATGTAATAAAATTTTTCAAAAAATAGTACTTCACGTGATTTTAGTTTTCTTACTGCCAAATTTAGATACGATGGTCAAGAGCTAGTCTAAACTTGGTAATATTTTTCCTAAATTTAGAAATGATCATAGCGGACAAATTCCTTGCGAGCATAATAAAGTACATGTTTTAAAAAAGAATAGAACTCTACAACAAATAATTATTTTGATAAAATCTCTCTATTACATTAAAACTAAAGACATATTCTATCAACTACTAGAGCTATTTTTTAAAAGGTGGGACAGAAAGTGACTTCTATACTTTTAAAATTTGCCCAAAATTTAGGAGGTCTTTAGACCAAGCCAACTATAGTACAATGCATATAGACGATTAAATTCACTACATAGTAAACATATAATTTTTTTTAGTAAATAAAATTTTTTTTCAGGTGATATTCTTAGCAATACTTTGTATTTTCATAAAAACATATTTTTTAAAAAAAAAAAAAATTTTTTTTGTTGTATATTCTTTACATTGTCTACCAAATCGTCCCAGGGTAAGTTTCATAATAT